GTGTCACTGTAGCTGGTGGAGAAGCTCATGAAGCTGTTGGCCAGCTCATGGTGGGCAATAAAGCTGCTCAGCTTGCTGCCGAGATAAGGAGAGTTGCCCAGGGTGCGATCCCAGTTGCCGACAATGGCCTGAGTGACGAGTGCAGTGAAGTAGTCCGGGTCTTTCCAGCTGACACCTTCGACAGCAATAGCAATGTGGGCCGTTGGCAGGGTGTCATCCCTGATACGAACCTCTGACCCAACAAAGTCCGGCTTACGCTTCTGCTCGGCGGCGATGACGGAAGCAGCCGATGTCGGCGGCTGGCTAGGCAGGTTTCCAAAGTGCTGCTCAGCCAGCTTGACGAGCTGGTCATGGGTGACGCCACCGGCACCGACAAGAACCATCCGATCAGCAGTGTAGTTGGTCTTGATGTAGTCGACCAGGTTCTCGCGCTGGATGCTCTGGATGTTCTCCTTGGGTCCGAGGATGGTACGGCCAAGAGGCTGGTTCTGGAAGGCCGTAGCATGAAGGTGGTCAAAGACGACTTCCTCGAGCTGCTTGTCAACCTCCTCCTGCTCACGCAGGATCACATCGCGCTCCCGCTCGATGGCAGCGGGCTCGAGCTTCGAGTTTTGCAGGATGTCAGACAGGATGTCGACGGCCTTCGGAACATCGGCGTTGAAGGATTTCGCGTAGTAGACAGTGTTTTCCCTCTATGAATTCAATTAGCACGCGAAAATCTCATATTCTCGCAGGTCGCTCCTCCACAATGGCGTACCGATGTGTAGGCATTCAGGTGACCACCCATGTTCTCAATTTCGAGTTCCAATTGGTGTTGAGACCTCTTGTTAGTGCCCTAGAATGACATCAGCACCAAGCCCAGAAATGTTTTCTTCCTTCACCCATCTAAGGACACGAACCTTGAAGGCCAGGTGCTCGAGGAAGTGCGCAGTTCCGTTGGTCTTGTCGGTCTCAGCACGGCTACCGGCGTCAATGAAGACGCCAACCGTACTGGTCTGCGCCCATGGGTTGTGCTCGGTCGCAATCTAACGCCATCAGCATAATATCAAAGTAATTGAGTCAGAAGTGCGTACCGTCAAGCCGTTCGACAGGGTGGTGGCCTGGGTCTTGGACGACAGCGTAACCGGGGAGGCGAAACCGCGCTTCACAGGCTGGACAGCCTTCAGGGCCGCGCGATTGCGCAGGGCCTGGTTCAAGTTGAAAGCTAGCCGTCGGGAAGCCATGACTGAAGGGGTTGGGATGGGTTCGAGGAGAGGAGAATGAGGGAGATGAGCCGGCTGGCGAGGTGTGTCTTGTCTGGTCGAGTTGGGAGGTGAAGTTCGGAAGTCAAATTGTTCGGAAGGCTCCTCAGCCAATCACATGACCTGTTTTTCCAAACGACCCAGATTCCATCCCGGCACTTCCCTTCGACCCGTCGCAGCCATGCAACGCCGCGACAATGTACTTGCCAGTTCTACCTACTTGTTAGAGCAACCCATATCGATGCGGATATGCAGGATACAGCGTGGATTGTTCGTTCTGAAACTCGTATCCTTGCTTTCTGCCCATGTTTGCACAGCCGCCCTCCCGAACTAAATCGGACGCGACACTAAAAATCTTCAGTTCAGAATCTTGCGACCATTCAAACACGACATCTTGAACAAGTCGACTCTATGATCCAACCTCTCGTTTCCAGATTTGGATAATCCGTCTCTTACAAGATGGCCCGGTTTAATCACATTTAACCACCGCGTAATTGGCGTCCAGCATACCGTACTTCGGCACACAACATTTAGAGATGGTCTGGATATACCTTAATTTGAGTGGTTTCATCGCGCCATGGTCCTTTCCAGGCGTACTCTAGTTAATGTACAGACAGAATTGACAGGATAGTATCAATCCGTATAGTAGTCAAGCTCTATTCAACCTGTCCTGAATGGTTAAACTGTTGAAATATATATATATATATCCCAAGGGGTATCTATTGGATCGGTTCATGAGGCAAAATTGCTGGCAAATTGCTTGACATTCTCAATGAAGGGAATGTCTTCCGAGAATCCCAGTTCCTTCGCACGTGCAGTGTCAAAGTTGGGAGACCACGACTGCACAATCCTGTCGACATCCGCATCGTATTTCTCCTCGACGAGGGCTCGTCTCTCCGGGCCTCCGATTTGCTCGAGCGCATCGAGCATCTCTTGGACAGTCACCTTCAGTCCAGGCAGGTTAACGGACCTCGAGTTCCCAAAAGCTTCCTTGGGGATTTCTCGTGCATGCAACAGGTTCTTCACCACGGTATACGGCGAGCAGATCCACACTTCCGTCTCCTTGCTCACAGGCAGGATGGCCTTCTTCCCATGGAATGGTTCTCGAATGATGTCACTGACGAAGCTACTGGCTGCCTGGGTGGGTTTACCAGCCCTCACTGTGACTGTTGGCAACCTGACGGCGCGGCCGTCCAAGAAGCCTCTTCTCGAGTAGTCGTTCAGCAGGATTTCGATAGCGAGTTTCTGCGAGCCGTAGGATGATAATGGCACCGGTGGTAGGTTGGTCTCATTGATGACAAACCCGTGCGGAGTCGGGCCGTACACAGCGAGCGAAGAGGTGAAGACGACCTTGACCCCTGGCATGGTGGTTCGCAGTCGCTCGAGAATGTATCGGGTCGCATCAAGGTTGACACGCATTCCGAGTTCGAAGTTGGCCTCGGAGCCGCTGGACATGATGCCATGGAGCAGATAGACGGTCTCATAGGGACTTGATTCTTTGATCAGGTAGTCAACCACCTGGGGAGAGGTGAGGTCGGCTGCGACGCTTCGGACGCGAGAGGCATACTGAGCAGCGGAAGCAGGTACAGGCGGTGCCTGAATGTCCGTGATGGTGACGATTGTGTCTGACGGGGTGGAACGGAGCAAACCGGCAGCCAATTCTTGACCGACATAGCCGCCGGCACCTGTGACAAGAATCGACGGCATGATTCAAGAGATCTCAGATTGAAAAGGGTGACAAGCTCCTGGCCAGATGAAGAGAGGAGAGGAAGAATTGAGGAGAATGAATGGAACGGTGCTGGTGACTGTTCATCTAGATATCCAGTCCAAGTCCAGGCGCTGTACGAGGGACCCCTCTTCTAAAATATAGCCGCGGGGTATCTGCGCCGTATCTCGCATGGCGATTCTGTGGGTCGCGTGGGGAGTGAGCACGCGGGGGATCCGGAGGGGTCAACACAGAAGAGTTGCCCAGTTGCACGGTGCATGTCGCAAGTACTCATCACGATGGAAAAGGCCGAGCGGAAGGAACGCCGATGGTCGGTTCGTCTCGGGAAGAACTGAGTCGGACTCGAATACCGCAGGAGATGATATCTCTTCCAGACTCTGTACTTAGCATTGCAGAGCAACCCTGGAAGAGGATGGATATCAGCGGAAAAGCCCCGGTACTCTGGGCATTTTACACTGCATCAGGGATGTCTCCGAAGCCCGTCGCGTTTTGCTCCGTCTTGGGTCGGAGAAACCCCGAGGCGGGAGTCAATGTCCTGGTGTAACGGACATGGGATACAGGGGAAACGAAAAAGCTGGCTCTGAATGAAATGCGATCAATTTATGCGCTATGTACAGCGAAAGTCAAGTTCTGCCTCGTCCTGATCTTGGTTGTCTATCCTTCACGATTTGTTGTTCCCATAGGACCAACACAGCCCTGGCTTCTGTCTCCTTGGGAACCACAGCAAGCAGCTATATTCGAAAAGATAATGCGGGTATGCTCATCATAAAACAGAAAGAACAGGGAAAAAAAGGTCATAGCAATGATTACATTGTCGTCAAAATGTGATGCAACCGTTAAAGGGGGTTCGAGGTCATTTTAAAGGTTTGAATGACCGTTGACCCCGTTGACCCCATTGACTCCATTGACTCCATTGACTCCATTGACTCCATTGACTCCATTGACTCCATTGACTCCGTTGACTCCGTTGGCACCGTTGGCACCGTTGGTACTGTTGACACCGTTGCTGGCAGACAGTTCGTTGAAGAGCTCGTCGAAAGATTCCTGTGCCACCTTGGTGCAGTCAAAGCCATAGACCATTCTCTGGACATCTGCGTCGGCCCACTTGTCCGGTACTGGGCCTTTGCCCTTCTTCAAAGCGGCAAATTGCTTGTCTCTCTCCTCCTTCGCGGCGCCCTCTCCCAAGTGCAGCGTCCGTCCTGATGCAGCGGCCAACTCCACGAGGGTCTCAGCGCGTTCCTTACGGATCTTCTCATACACCCGCAGAGCCTTGTTGATCGATTCTGGAGACGTGTCCGGGAGCCGGGATAGCACAACGGCGATGACGGCGGCATCTTCGATGGCCTGGGCCGCTCCCTGAGCCAGATGAGGCAGAGTCGGGTGGCAAGCATCGCCGACCAGAGCGACAGTTTGTTCAATCCAAGTCGACAGCGGAGAGTGGACACGCAGCTTCCACTCGCAGACCTCGCCCTCAGGCACGAAGTTGAGCATCCGCTGAATCTTGGGGCAGAAGTCTTCGAAAACTTTGAGCATGGCGGACTTGGAGCCCTTGGTGGTGTAGGTGGCTGAAGGAGCTGCAGCAAAGTTGACATCTGGCTGGGTGGTGGAAAGATTGTAGATGGTCTTGCTGGAGACAGGGTAGGCGATGATGTGTCTCTTCTCCCCGATCCAGCGCACCACCATGTCGCTGTCCAGCAACTCGAGAAGTTCGGGGTCATTGGCCATCTGGTCGCGGTGTAACATGATACGGTAGGCAGCCTGATTGGTATCCTGCACGTGGGCATCCTCGCCCCGTCTCTTGAGCATTTCGACACGAATGTTGCTCTTGATGCCATCGCAGGCCAAGAGGATATCTGACTCCACCGTGTAGGGCTCCGTTCCGTCGCGAGGCGCGGCGATGATAGTGGGCTTGGGCCCGAAGGATTCAATCGACTTGATGGTGGTGGCAAAGTGGAAGGTGATGGCTTTTTCCTTCTTGCAGCCCTCATACATGCCATTTGCCAGGGAATATCGGTGTCCGACCATGTGCGGGTACCCATAGGTCTTTTCGACATAGTCTAGCTCGACATGGCCTAACTCTGCGTCGGTAGAACCTTCTGCTTGTTGTCAGCCAGGAGCGCCGCCAGAGAGCCACATGCAATTGAGATGCTACGATTTACATACGCCTGATACTGGTCTCTTTGATGTTGGTCGCCTCCTTGGCAATATCCTCCCACACACCCAGCCGGTCGAGGATTCGAGCCATGTTGGGCGCCAATTGAATTCCGGCTCCGACAAAGCCCAGGTCCGAGGCGGTTTCAAAGACATCGATCTTCTTGAATCCTTCCTTGGCCAGTGCCAGGGCACAGGCCAGACCGCCCATGCCTGAACAGTCAGCTGAATGAGTCGAAGATAAGGATAAAGCTGTGAGATAAACTGCTTACCAGCACCGACGATAGATATTCTCAGATTCTTCACCGCTTCAGACATTTTGAATGAAGGCCCGGCCCAGAGGGAAAGAATACGGTACAGAGATAGATAATAGTACACAAAGAATCTATCGCGATCGATGAAGGAGATGAATAAATAAGAGGATCGTACAGGATTCAGATAGGGGGAAAAAAAGATATACAATCTACTGCTAGAAATAAAAGAAACAGTATGCCTGTACAAAGTCTCCAGTCCGGACTGGCAAGACAATAAATACGTATAGGAATAGGTCAAGTATGTACTGTACTAGGTATTAATACAAATATCCAGAGCACAAAGGCGGATAAGAATTCAAAAGCCCCGATCTTCCGACACGGTGAGTCGGCAGAGCCCTCCCAGCAGCATATATACAGAGAGCAAATAATAATAATTAATAAAATGAATAATAACTGGGCTTTTTTGCCTAGGTAAACTGGGTAGGTAATACTGGCCAGGACCGGGGAGTAATGGTTGCTAAATGCTTATCCGGCTTGGCATGGAACCGTGGGCGTGGTGCTTGAGGAAACTTTCCCCTAAATCGGGAAATAACCACCACATGTGGGACGCGGTGGAAACAGTACCTAGTCATGTCGTCTTTTTTTTCCCCCTGCAGCAGATGGGCAGAGCACTGTTTTGTTTCATGAAGTGGTATTAGCGTATCTTTTTGCTATGCAGAATCAGCGACTTAATTAGTCTTGCTCTGGACCACAGTATACTACGGATGTATACCAGTATTCATCATGGCGGGGCCTTTCCAGACATCTCCACACACCACAATTCAAGTCCTCCTCGTGAGGACTCAGGAGGGCGTTCTTCCAAGGAGGGGCAGGGCACAGTTCGTCCATCATTTAATCTTATTCCCATGACTTTTACCATCGAACTTTGATCTTTTTACCATGACTAATAATCAGGCAGGCCCCGCATGGAGTGAACAAACCTGTCGCTGCTTCAGTCTTCAGAACCGTTCATATTCATATTTTGAATCGATTGCCCCAGTAGTACCTACCTACCTGACCTAGATAATCGTGGAGAGGGACCCAGAAGAGGTATGATTGTATGATTGGAGTGTTAAGACTTTATCCGACCTAGCCGATCAGTCAGTCTCTTCATCATTCCATTTCATCATTACGGAGTATTGTTCTTTTTCTTTATCCAAGATTGTAAATAGTCCACAGTTTCTTCTCTGAAGATCAAGAAAGGTCATATTGTTTCTTTCTCAATTATTGCAGAAGTCGTTAGAAGATGCGTTGTCCTCGTGTTACTCCGCACAGGACATGCATGTACAGAGTAGACTATCTTGTGGGGCCATATGCACATGACTACCTACCTACCTCCTACATACGGAGTACTGTACAATGTACATACATGGAGAAAGACAAGAAGGTTATGCAGAATAATACATATGGAACTGGAACTTTGTCAACAACAACATCATCATTATTAGGCTCAGAACATTGACCTTTGTTCGATGCAGTACTGCCATTCATCGCGATGGCCCCTCATAGGATGTATGTAATACACTGCCTGCCATTACGGAGTATTAAAATATTATACCCCTCATTGCACTCAGCACCGTGTATAAATTAAAATTATGGAAGCACATAAAACGGTTCTCCCACATATGTACGGAGGGTGAATGACTGACTAAGCGTATCAAGGTAAATTCATGGAATTTGCCTGATGAAGTACTTTAGAAATACTATTTATTCTCACTTCAGACTGAAAGACAAGTAAAGCAACCTTGTTATTATTCCATTTGACCCTTTTTTTTTTTTGATTCAAGCCAATCGTTCCGATTTTATTTACTACCCCTGTTTCCTTTTTTTTTTCCCGTTTCCCTCTTAAAGCTCTGCCTTTCACTGTACTGTACAGTACAATATAAGCTTTTCACACCATCCACAACCCATTCATCAAGGATGTGTCTGGCGTATTCTTTTTTTTTCTCTGGGGTAATTTGCCTGAATTGCCTCCCCCAAAAGAAAAAAAAATAGTAATATCAATAGAATAAGCTATTCCTTCCCTTGACTTTTTGACTGCAATCGGATTCGGTGGTTTAGTTCCCTCCCATAAAACTAACAACAAAACAACGCATCATCCCTGGCCAGACCAAAACAAATCGAAAAGATAAAAAGAAAAAGACGCTTTTCTGTCGGACTCACCAACCAGGTACATTGACATTGTGCAAACCATCACATGAGAACAAAAAGATAAGACACACTGGACGCCAGAAACATGTCACAAATAAAAAGGAAAATAGACGGAGGAAAAAAAGGAAGACTGCAATTCCATTTAGTCATGGCGCCTGTAGATACCGCACACCACACAGTGGTCACGCTCGAATGGTTCTGTAGATTGTGATGTCAGTAAAACCATTGGCAGAATACTACTAGAAAAAGGGGGTTTCTTACCCAAGGTCAGCTGCTCCTTCGGCTTGATTCGCTCCTCCCGCATCTTCTGGACCTCTCTGGCGAACACAACCTCCGGTTTGGCCGTGCTGTCAATACAGTTCGCCTTGATACTGACAATGACACCACCTCCGTGCTTCAGGAACATGTGAGCGTTGAGGCCGACGATACGAGCCTGGTCGGGCTGCGCCACGTCGGCGAAGATGCAATCAACCATCCCAACCAGCATCCGATATCTTAACGGGTGACGCGCGTCTTCGACGATGGGGATGACGTTGGTCCGGTGGGTCGCCATGCCGATCAGGTCACGGCCAGACCGGTGAGAAAACTCAACAGCGTAAACAGTGCCAGTTGGGCCAACAAGGTCGGATACGTGCGATACACTGGTTCCCGACGCCGCTCCAAGATACAGAACTTTCGAGCCAGGACGCATGTAGATATCATCAACACCACCGAGAATTGCGGCTGCGAGCTTGCTACGGAACGGGTTCTTTTGTGCTTGTTAGTGATTAAGGCATTCGTGACTCCAATGAAAGCGAAGGAGAAGAGGAAATAAATCAAGATGTCATTCACTTACCCAGACACGGTATTCAGTCTTCACAGGGGCGGCAGATTCTCCATCGGCAGTGGTGGCGGGGGACTCGACAGAGATGCGCTTCTCGCCGTACACAGACTCTCCAGGGGTAAAGTTCTTGGTGACAAGCAAGTCTTCCTTACCACCGCGGGCGACAAAAACACCGGGATGACGGTGCGGCTCGATGATGACCTTCTGACCACCCTTGATACCTTTCTTGCCTCCCTTCTTCTTACCACCACGAGCACCACCGCGGCCGCCGCGAGGGGCACCACCACCACGGCCTTTAGCGCCAAGTCCGCCTGTAGGCCAGAAAGCAAGATCGAATCAGCCTCACTGTCCTGGGAACATACGCCGCTCACATGTCAAGAATCAATTGCTACTGCCAGAACGCGTCTCTCTAGAACAGATTTGGACATTCAGGCTGTAGCAACTGAACCGGAAAGAACGACAAAGGCAAAGCTTTGCTGTTCCGAATGGGATACGAACCTCTCCCACCACCTCGACCACCACGTTGAGGTGCTCCTCCGCGGCCTCCACGGCCGCCACCGCCGCCGCCCCGGGGTTTAGCACCAACTGCCATTGTGTAAATGTACTAGAATGAGACCGATAGTGAACTCGTTAAGATTGTTCGAATCCTGGAAACCGGACAAGTTGTCTAGATTCTCGCACTGAAATTTCGCACGGGCGTCGACTTCGATGCGGTCAGTGGACGGAGGGAACGTAGAGCAATTAATGCTCTCAAGGTTAAAATAGAATAAAAATAAAAAGCCCCTTCCTGTGTAAGTAATCCACAAGGGGAATGCAGGGCCACGCGCTGCTGTTGCGAACAAGCAGGTGTGTCTTGCGTGGAGTCGAGATTTTTCTCGATGGAGCTGGACCGGTTGGAGCTTTTTTTCTGATCTCTTGCCAAATGCCTACGCGCTAGTACTATAGAGGACTAGCGCACAAGTCTAGTCCTGTTATGGCAATGTGGAAGCTCTATAGTCACGTGACTTAGAACTCATCCGATAGCGAAATCACGGGATTTCTCTAAACCCTACCTCCTGAGTAATCTGATTGGACGGTACAACACTGCTGGATACTGATTTGGTCGCGATATTTATCCTGGACGACAGGGGGATTAAACTACGCAAAATATCTTTTTTTTTGGCAAATGAGAAAAATTACTTCCGTAGTGCATATGTTATTCTGTAAATTACTAAATACTTGTCTACATAATGTAGTATATGAACTACTTAAGTGCAGCAAAGTATAGGATGCAGTATACATGCATATGTATGCTGTGTATTTAAATTAATGACAACAACAAGAACGTAATACTATATATCCACAAATATTCCGAGAACCACAGAATCGCCTGTCAAATTAATGACCTTCATTTATGACTTGTAAACTATTCAGCCAGTGCCGTCACCAACGGGTCTATGTGTAATTTCCATCTTACGCGCCATAGAAGTAATAGTCTGCAGAGTACTGGACCGTGAATACATTTGGCATGCCTTGACAGGTCGCAGGTGGCTGTCCTCCAGCCGTGTTGACCCGATAGACCGACTTATAGCCCCCAACAGTGCCATTTGTGGTCTCGAGGTAGAGCCAGGGAACGGCCCCATAGCCGCTGTTGTTCTGACCAACCACAGACCCAGCTGGAGCGGCCAATTGGGCTTTCTTTTTGGAGATGGCAATTCCATACTGTCGATCCGTAGTGGTGTCGAGGTTGAAAACTGGTGTGCTAGCGTCTTGGAAGTAATGATGACCCAGCAGGTCGAGATTGGCCGGCGGAAGAGGAGTCGAGTCGCTGGGCGGTAATGGTTGGTTGAGCACGATTTTGGTAGCAGTAGTCAACAGGTCTGGATAGTTTGCAGCCACACAAGAAGCGTCATAGAGACTGGCAACTGCGCCTAGTGCCGAAGGCGTCGCGTCGGGAGTTGGCGTTACACAGCTGTAGTTCTATACTATGTGTCAGAATCTCAGCATGTTCATTTAAGGACTAAAATGAAAAGGAGACATACCTGTGTGCCACGGCCAATAGCGACGTACTTCAATGTCAGATTCGAGGGAGAGGGCAGTCCAGCTGCCTGCGCCGGTAATGACACCTTTGATAGATCACACGATGGCAACGCACCATCTGCGAGATCATCGATGTACCGACTGATTCTGGAATAGAACTCTGCCAGATCAGGAGAGAAATCATAGACGTTGTTGAGAACGGATCTGGTCGGAGCTGCACAAGCAGCTACCGCCATAGTGGCGACCAGGATGTTCAAACGCATCGTTGGTGATATGAAAGGTCAAGTTCGAACTGGACTTTTAAAAAAATTTTTTTGATTTTTCAATATGCGCAACAGAATCGTGATGATGGCGATATGTCAGAAATGTGTTGGATCCGGCACCAGGCACGTCCAACAATTCGAATAACAAGAACAACGAATTGATCAACAAAAACAGCGCACAGATTAAGAAACCGCGACAGAAAAGGAAATCAACAGTAAGAAAATTGATCACGAGGAAAACTGAGAGAAGAGACTGCAGAAAACATACTGGGCACGACCAGGGCCGACATGCATCTAGATATGTAGATCGGCAGTAACCAACAAGGCTCGATGGAGCAAGAATAGCAACAGCTAATTCTTAGCTCGATCTGTTAACTGATTTACAAAGATAGATCGAGGGGGGATGTCGCGTCTCATTGGCGATCGTATGCGCCGGGCTTGATGGATTGATGGCCTGGGCCAACCAACGGCCGCGCTTGGCTGCCACCGGCGGCCGCTAACGACCGCAACGCCGACTGCGGGCTGCGATTCGCCAATCTCCTCACTTCTTCAGACTTCATCTAGGAGCCTCCCGATGGGTTCGCGCGAAGCGAAACAGTAGATCCTCTCGGGCGGTAAGCTCTGCTTCAAAGAGGCAGGTCTTCTCAAGGATTGGTGTCTGGAGGCCATTTTCTATTCTTAGAGTGCTTCTGGTGGACACGCCCTCAGTTGCTGCTGAATGTTTTATTTATTGCAAGCCTGACTGGTCTAACTTGTCAGAGGTGCTACTGACGGCGAATCGAAGAAGCCATACCCGAATCTGACATTGCCGACTGAAGCACCTCATGCGCATGGAATGTTGTGGTGTCAGGATAACATGACACGTGATAAGGCTACGATAAGTTGAGCGATCTGGAAGTCATGTGCTGTACGGAGTACAAGGATGAAACGATCGCAGCGTAGATCTGCTGCGAATTCCTTGGAATCATTGGCACAATCTTGTGTCAAAATAATCCTGCGCATGAAACATGCGAGCAATTGTGACCCTGACAAATTTATCCACTGCGTCTTTCTATCGATTTGCATTATTGAGGCTAATAGAAGGAGACGGTCGATGATCACCTCGGTGATTTAGACCGCGTCATGCGACACTGAGGTCCACTGGTTGCCTGTGAGGAAAGGAACTACCGTCCACGGAGAATGCACGGAAGAAGAAAGACCTTCTGACGTAGGAATAAGAGTCTCAGTAGGGTAGCATTGATGTGCTAATGTCCGTTTCTATGGACAACATGGTATTATGATGAATAGTGCAATTGTCATGCAGAAACTGACTCTCTTCTAGGTCAAAGGCAGACTTACGTGGTCGGCGTCAAGGAAATAAAATAGAAAACAGAAGGCGGCATCCAATGGATATGACAGGCCCTGGTTAATCTGAGGCATTAGCGTTCTTGGTGCAGAAATACTAACTTGCAGCGGGCCAAAAATAGCACTGATTACACTCTAGTCCGACTCTGGAGAGACCCTGGACGCGCTGTTACCTGTAATTTGTGGAATATCTCCTATTCGTGGAAAGCTCACAACTGTCTGTCCGCTGCAATATTACCTAATTAACGAGTGGCTGCCTGGTTTATATTTAACTCAGCGTCAAGGAGCGCAACTACCTAAATAGGTAGTTTTCAACTGTACGGAGACAATCCCAGCTCTTCCACAGAACGAATTGTCCTAAGAGTAGTCGAGACCGTCCCTGCATATTCTCTAAATTAAGGATCCTGGACAACCCGGTCATCGAGACGGTCTAGATTAGAATGCGACCGAGGAGGGCATCATGTGCCTTGCTGCAAGTGGTCGTGTTGAGAAATCATGATCCATGACTGTCGTACGGCCGGACTGAGTCGTACCAATGGAAGCAGATTAATATAGCACCTCGGAGGACTTGAAAGATCTGGTAGACAAGCGTCCTAAAAAGAGCGTACGACGTCTTCCATCGCATAGGCAGGCCCAGGCCCTTGGTGGGCGTTACTCTGCAGCACTCCAGTAAATAAATTAATTGGCTGGACCGAACGGGCATGCGCCTTCCTGGCTGACCAAGAAACGGGCCGCCAACCCCCTCCCCCCCAAAGGCTGAAGATCCATGGAATTGTCCCACCCCAACTTCCAGGAAGCTTTCTGCGGACTTACATATTCGCTGCTCTTTCCATAGAACAGTGTACTTTTCGCCATCCAAATGATGTTCTCGTCTCTATGGTTCTTCATCGGATTGCCCACTATCGAAATGAGAGAAGGACGTGGAATCGTCGCCTCAGTCTGGTCTTGGGTCCTTATGACTTAGGACAGTTCTCCAGAATGGCCTTATTTCCAGGACGAGTTCGACGTCGTGATGTCCTGATTGCGATAATCCTACTTGTGATCTTCTGGCTGCTTACTCCTCTGTGGCAGTATTCTCCTAAGCCACACGGCATAGTGAGAAGGACGAGGCTTGATTATCGACCCCAGCAGGAATTCTGGCGATATTTGCATACACTATTTAAGAAGAATGACCCGGGAATCACGTTACCGGAGAGGCCTGGACCCGCTGCACTCATCGAGTACAATGACACGCATGAGATTCCCCGGCCTGAGCTCTTGCAAATACCTCAGACAGCAGTGGACAAAATTCGAGATGCTCATAAAGGATTCGTCAATGACATCAAGGTCGATAATGCACAGTGGAGTCTACCATATAAGCCAAATACTCGGGGCATCGTCACTGCAGCCAGTGGTGTTTCCTTTCCCATCCTTCTCGTATCGTTGCGGATGATCAGGCGGACTCACACCACCCTTCCCATGGAGGTATTCATGATGTTGGAGGAGGAATACGAACCAGACATTTGTGAAGGTGTACTGCCTTCCCTGAACGCAACGTGCGTCATCATCAGCGATATCTTGGGTGCAAAGGGAATGAAGGATATACAGCGTGCCCAACTCAAGTCATTGGCAATTCTCTTCTCCTCGTTTGAGGACATTCTCTGGCTTGACTCTGATTGCTTTCCTCTTCGGGATCCAGAGTATATATTTCAGTCTGAAGTATATCAGTCTACTGGACTGATCACTTGGCCTGATTTTTGGGCCATGACGACCTCTCCGTTGTACTATGAGATTTCTTCTCAGCATCCGTTGCCCCTAAAAGAACGACCGTCCACTGAGGCTGCAGAGCTACTCTTATCCAAAAAGAAGCACAGTCTAACACTGATGCTGGTGAGCTACTATAATTACTATGGTCCTTCCCACTACTACCCGCTGTTGTCTCAAGGTGCTCCAGGAGGAGGAGACAAAGAGACATTCCTGGCAGCAGCTTCCGCTCTTGGGGAGCCATTTTACGCGATCACAGAAAGGGCGCGCCGCCTAGGACATCCTACAATGAATGGAGACCTTGTGGGCTCCGCCACGGTGCACTACGACCCGATTCGGGACCACGAACCCATCACACATGAGAAATTGCAGCCAAAGAACGAGAAGGCAACCACCCTTCCAAGAGCACTTTTTATTCACACGTACTATCCCAAGCTTGAGTCGGCAACTATCTTCGACCCTTTCAATGTTCAGCCTACCCGCAACCCGGACGGTAAGTGGTCTCGCGCTTGGACGAAACCGGAGGAGACTATCTACAACGTTGGGTTTGACACGGAGATACATTTTTGGGAAGAGGTCAAATGGGTGGCATGCAACCTGGAGAACAAATTCCTAAGTTGGAAAAACAAGTGGGGGGTCTGTGAGCGTGTGACGCATTACTGGAACAGCGTCTTTGAGGGCATTCAATCCAGTACTGCAAACTAAAAACCGTTTTAACCAGAGCATATTAATCAGTTTTAATGAAGAGAAGTATCGACACAGAAAGAGAAGATGCAGAATCTCCTAACACACATTATTATGACTAATAACATCAAGGGGAATAAGTAAACATACCTACTAAAATAAAAAGAAAAACCGGAATTTCTCTACATCATGAGAATATCGACAAATAGAACGAACCATCGCCCTAAGAGACATACATAGCCATAGAGGGAAGGGGAGGAAAAAATACACCATAAACGCCGACATTAACATAATTCCAGCGCGAGCAAGACTGATATATTTAATTAATTGAAGCCTGCTTGCTGCCAATCATCGCCATGTAACTGCTGGCCAGCGCCGCTCTTGCTTCCACCTCCAGCTCCAGCGCCAGCAACAGCACCCGCGGCTCCGCTGACGAGATTGTCAATGTGGTGCTTTTCAATTTCAACCGTGCTCATCATGTACAGCATGACGAAGAGAAGGATGTGCAGCGCGAAGCAGTACCCCGCGAACAGGTTCCGGCTGGTCCGGTTCGCCAGGACAATGCGCGTGATGGAGAAGATGATCCGCTCCGGAAAGCTCATGCGCTTGTAGGCCCGTGCCGCTTCGCGACCCCGGAACGCGGCAAACGGCGAGATTTGCGCCTCGTATGCGGACTGATACCGGTCTAGAGACAGACCGGATGGCGTATCCGCCGACGCATGTACCGACGTCGGGCTCGGCCGGTTGGCGTACGCAGACGCAGAAGTCGATGCCCCTTGGCTGCGATTGTAGGTCGAGACGTACCGGGTCTTTTCATACAAGTTGAGATTGTCCTTCTGGAGGGACGCGACTTCTTGTCGTAAAGATTTCACAGTGCTATACATCTTGGAAAGCTCCTCCTCGAGTTCAGCGTTCCTTTGCTTGAAACGGTCCCGCTGTGCCTGGACCATTGGCAGTATGCCGGAGCCACCGCCCACAGGCTCTCCAGCTCGTATCGCATCCATCGTATTCGCGGAAGCGGCGGCTTGGTCGAAACCAGAGATGATAGACGACGTCGGTGACGTTGTTCCTCTTCGAGAAGAATGATATTTCGACGTATATGTGCCGGCAACCGACATGGCAGACGAAGGAAGAGGGGTTGTGGGTCCCTTCTGCATGCGCAAAAGGTCATTCTCGAGGGTCGCGGAGAGCTGCTGGGACTTCTCGAGCTCTTCTTTCGTCTTGGAGAGCTCCTGCTGGAGGCTTTCCAATTGGCTCTGGAGATCTCGGTGAGATACTCGGAGTACTGTGAGCTCGTTGGTGAGCTTCTTGTTCCGACTCATCAACAATTGCTCCAGAGTGTTCTCTTTGGATTTGGCTGACGCGCCATTTGCATTCGCGCCGGCGTCTTCCGTAATATCGCCCGCATCATCATCGTCGCCCGTCGAGAATTCAATAGACTGGACACGTTAGTTTGGTAAGACTGTATGGAACATGGCAGGTGCGCACCTTAATAACTTCCAGCTCCCGCCGGATCTCTTCGTAGTCGGCACACTTCTCCAGCTTGGCCCGCAGTTCCTCTTTTTCCGCCGTGATTTTGGCATTTAGTCTTTCAGCTTGCCGAAGCTTGCTTTCCCACTCATGTCTTTCAGTATCTCTGTCGAACCGTGCGGCATCAAGTTTCCGCAACAATGACGAGTTCTCGGATTGTAGTCGTAGATAAGCAGGGTCATCTTCAACCGAAATTTTCTGCTCTGTTTGCGGGTGAGATACGGCCTGGGCCAGCTCCAACCGAAGCTGCTCGTTCCGCGCCTCGACTTCCGCCAACCGCAAACTGGTCTTCTCTAGCTCTGATGTAACGATTTCTAGTTCAGCGGCGGTAGCAGCATTGCGGGTTGAATCCCCTTCGTCCTCTCTTCCCAACCGCTGAGACACCTCAAGGCTGGCCTTGAGTTCTTTCAAGAGACGGTCCTGGTTCTCAATTTTTTCTTCAAAACTCTTCTCTTTGGCCTCCCAGTTATTCGTCTTCTCTGACAACACCGCAGACCAGGTTGACTCGATCTCTCTGATTTTCGATTCCTGGCTCTCTTCCAGTTTCTGTCGGGCGGTCCGTTCCTCCTCCAGTCGCTTCTCAGTTTCTTCCAATTGGCTCGTTAGACGCTCCACCGACTTCTGCAAGTGTTCCTTTTCCGAAGTCAACTTCGGAACGGTTTCTTCGGATGCAACGAGAGAGTCGACGGACGCCTCGAGGAGAGGATATGGATCGGGGGCTTCTGACAAAGAGGAGTAGAGCTGCAGAAATGCCGACGAAGACGTCTTCCCATGATTCGTAAGGAGATCAATGAAGGTTTGATAAGCTGCGATGTTACTGTCAGCTACCGGGCATCAGCCTGAGAAATTGTATAGACAAACCCTTTAGTAGACCCTTGTACTCCGCCAGCTTTGAAGCATCGTCCAGCTTTCTGAAATCTTTCGTCTTTTGAGCCAAGTCTTTTCTCTGCACGAGAGCGTCTCGCTGATTTGCAACGATTTCCGAAGCGGTCGCATCCAGCTTTGGTATGGTATTGGTTAAGTCAATCCCTATTCACAAGCAAGACGGTCAGTAACAAATATGAAGCGCCCATAGGTCACTGGGATCCTCGCACCTCGCCAGGCGGAGATCGCGCGCTGGAATCTGTTGGCTTCCTCTCCATGGCTCCCGGCATTGGCGTTCCGGTCGGCGTGTCCATCTCGCTTCTCCTGTCCGGGGAGAACGCCTTCTGTGACTCCAAAGACATCCATTTGCTGGCAAATGTTCCAGAAACGCCGGAGGTCCTTTATAGCATTCTCCTCAGCTCCACAAGTGAGTCCTGAAGAGGCTAATCGCAGTGCGAACGAGTGGAGCTGACCTGTAACGCCTGACGGTGTCAGGTTGGATGCGGAGGAAGCTCGAATTGCGCGTCACGGGCCGACGTTGCTCCGCCAGCGCAACAAGGTTACCGGACAGCAGATAGACAGCAGGCAGCAACAACAGCTGAATATATCAAAATCGACCAAACTGTCTCGCAACTAGACGCGCTCTTAATTATTCTATGGCTATGGTTCTGAACAGGCTGGATTACGATGTATAGACAACTCGCTGATACCGTGGACAACTGCAGGCCATGACTAAGCAACGATAAGATCCGCAGATTGTTTCCCAATCAATCAAGGCGGGCTGTTCCTCCAGCTGAGGTCGATCAACTTGTGCCGGTGACCGTAAACGCGGTCGTTCACAGATTTCAGCGAAGCGGTACTGACAGCAGCTGTCTCGAGAACATCCTCAATGGATGACAGCGCTGGTCCTCGCAAGAGAAGGAAGCTGTCCTCGCCAAAGGCGGCGCCATACGTCCTCCGTCAACTTCTCGATAACGTACCGTTGGACAGCGAGGGTGGTGGCTCAGACGTTCACATCACTTGTGTAGAATACTGGAGTGAGTCCTTCAGCTAGCTTCGTACCAAGGGTCTCTCGATTTGATTGAAGCTGATTAGCGTATATTTCGAATAGACGAGAATCTGTACATAGGCACATCGGCGGCAGAGATTCTACATTTCGTCGCCCTTCCTCCCGATCCTTCCGACGACACGAACGAGTCGACCTTTATTTTAGCGTCCAGATTGCCGATTACACATCATTCCTCGACAAGCAATCATCATGGCGTTCAGCAGATTGTGTTGCTTCCGACTGCGAGCAAAGCATGTATCCTGTGCAATGGCGTCGTCACCTTTTACACCCTGCCTGAGCTGAGCCCTGCTTTTGGAAATACGAAGGTCGGAAATTGTCGGTGGATTGGTGGCCTCGATCTAAATCGGGATGTGAACGAACCGTCGGCCGAAGACCCGGTTATCATGATCGCCGTCCACAACAGGATCATGTTGGTGCGCATCGGAGAAGAGGCACGACGAATCAGGAATATCGAGTTTCCGGGGTGTTTAATTGCGTCGCGGCGAGACACAATTGCATGCGTTGCGGATGAGCACTCATATTCGCTCCTTGATGTCGAACATCAGCAGAAGATACCCCTCTTTCCTATATCCTCGTCGAATGAGGTCTTTGAGCCGGGCCATGTGGAGGATATTCCCTCTCAATCAGGGTCCTCTCTCAAAAGATCCTCCTCCGCATCATACGGGAATCCAGATGCAACCAAGGTAAGTGGCCATGGGCGGAGTACGAGCCTGAATGCATTTGTGGGGGGATTGGGAGTACGACAACAGAGCCCTCAGCTAGGCGCGATGGATCGATCTAGTTCCCGTACGCCAGACCCTTTTACAGCGACAGGGTCGCCAAGGCGATCAACGTCGCAGGAACGACGTGATGCAAGCAAGTCGAAGGAATTGCCGGCCCCTCCACCTGAAGCTGAAGCGAACAAGCAAAAACCATTGCCTCCAGCGCCTAAACAAACCTTGACACGGCTCAAACCCCATATAGTGTCTCCGACCCCGTCTGAATTTTTGTTGGTTACCGGAACAGAAGAGACCGAGCCTGGAGTAGGTATGTTCGTCAACATGGACGGCGATGTAGTCCGTGGGACAATAGAATTTCAGAGATACCCGGACGCCGTTGTCATTGATGGGGCGGACGAGGTCGATCAGACTCGACCAAATAGCAACCAACAAGAAGGCTATGTTCTCGCTATCGTCAATGCAGATGATGAGAACGGCAATCCTCGAAAATGTCTGGAAATACAGCGTTGGGACGTTGATTCTGGGGAAGCCGAGCGTCAAAAGCATTGGGTGGAAATACCGGCGTCGAAAGACACGCGAACAAACCATGTCGGGATTCGTCACACTACTGGTCCGAGCCAGCTCAACTTTTACGAACTGGGAGAGCTGCTGCGAATGGTCCGGCTAAGAATACCCAAGATGGGTCCTCCTACTCCGCTAGAGGATCCGACCAAAGCAAGCATTGAACGACTGCGGAAAGAGAAAGAATTATTTGAGTCGCAGGACCTGATTGACAGAAACAGGGAAGAAGCTACCTTTGCTCATGGGCTGGGAAACATCCGCAGCAGCCTAATTGTGTGGTCGGGAAATCGGATTTGGCGCGTGCTGAAAAATCCACTGCCATTACAACTCGATGATGCCCTGCAGAGGGCTCAAACGTGGGAGGGTGCCCGTTATAAATCCGTTGACAGGGAGTTTATTGTAAGCCTAACGCAATCCATCAAGGATACTGAGCCGAGAACCGAAGCGGAGTTTCTTGGGTTGGAATACATTAGGCAGAAAGCAGGTCTGCTGCTTTTCGCGGATCTGCTCTCCATGAACCCTGAAGATCAGACAGAGGCTGCGATTCTATCGACAGAAGAGGTGTTGATGGAAAGCAATCTCGATCCTCGCCTGATTCTCTTGCTTATTCCTTTTCTGAGGGACGAGGCTCTCCAAGGGCCGCAAGGGATCTGGGTTCATGGGGGCCTTGCCCAGGTAGCGGAGTTCTACCTGGAGCAATTCGCAGAATCCAAGAGGGTACCGCAAGTTCCTGATGACGCTGTTCTGAATATGGTGAAGCGTTACCTGTTTGCGTGGCAGCGGAAGAGAGGATATGGCAGCATAACGGACGAAACATTCGTCTTTGACAGCGTTGATGCTGGTCTCCTGCATCTGCTGCTGGAGCAGGACGCAAAAGGGTTCCGCGAATCGCGTCCGTCGCCAACGGTTCGCGCAGAGCTGAATCGGCTGGCCGACAGCTGGAAGGGCAACTTTGATCGGGCGGTGACGCTTCTTGAGCAGTACAACCGACTCTTTGTGCTGAGTCGCTTGTACCAGAGCCGAAAGACAGCAGGGAAAGTACTGCAGACGTGGCGACGAATCGTGGAGGGGGAGAAAGATGATGACCCTGAAATCACGGTTTCCGGTGTGGAGATGCAAATGCGCAAGTATCTCGTCAAAATTCGGGATGCGCAGCTGGTCGAGGAGTATGGATCGTGGTTAGCGGCACGGAATCCAAATCTGGGCATCCAGGTTTTCTCGGACGACAGTAGTCGAGTCAAACTGGAGGCTCAGGAGGTCGTGCGCTTGCTCAAGAAGCGTGCGCCAAATGCTGTCCAGGACTACCTCGAACACCTGGTGTTTTCTAAAAACGTAAGAGTACAGTCGTTCATTAAGATAACGAGATGGCTGACGATTCTCTGCTTTTAGTATAGCCAATATGCTGACGATCTAATCGCATACTACCTCGACACCGTCTTGTCCGTCCTTCAATCGTCCCCAGCTGCTCGGGAATCACTTCAAGAATCGTATTCGACATACCGCGCTCTGCGCCCGCCCAAGCCGACATATCTTAATTTTATCAGGGAGAACGCCCCCCCGGAGCCGTGGTGGCAGTCTCGCCTGCGGCTGCTCCAACTGCTTGGAGGGGGTCCCTGCACACAGTTCACATCCTCTCCTGTGCCCGGGAACTTGTCCTACTCTGTTTCAACTGTCCTGTCGCGCATTGAGCCCTTTCAGAACGAATTAGTTTCCGAAAGCATCATCCTCGACGGCCGGCAGGGGCGACATCGGGAAGCATTGCGTCTGCTGACACATGGTCTCGGAGACTACGACTCCGCCATCCGATACTGCCTCTTCGGCGGGCCGTCCAGCACGCAGACAGCTGCAGCCTCGCTGCCGTCGACCATTGACACGGCCCGAGACTCTGAGCGGAGGGAGCTGTTCAAACACCTGCTCACTGAGTTCCTACAGATCGAGGACTTTTCAGAGCGCATCGAGCGAACGAGCGACCTGCTAGCGCGGTTCGCTCCGTGGTTCGACGTGCACGAAGTTCTCGCCCTGGTGCCGGACGACTGGAGCGTCGAGATCCTGAGCGGCTTCCTCGTGCACGTCTTCCGGGACCTGGTCTCGCAGGCCCGCGAGGCGCGGATCCAGCGGGCTCTGAGCGCGAGCCTCAACCTGCGGGTGGAGGTGGAGTACCTCGACAGCGTGGAGAAGAAGGGCGGGTGGATCGAAGATGGGGAGGGATTGCGAGGACTCAAGTTGGCGGCGGCGGCGGCAGCAGCGCCTGCGGTGAGCAGCAGCAGGAGTGCGGACGGAAATAATAATAATGGCAACGATAGTGACTTTGGCGAGATGGTGAACGCTAGAGATTAGCTGTTGCCACTTATGTACGAACGATATTGTCTACTGCAAGTATGTGCATGTACATACGTGCGTATGTATGTTGATGTGTATATACGAAGACGTCTTATCTTATAACTATAATATATCATGACCTGTTGATACCACTGCTGTGCTTTAGACTGTTCATTTATATTTCAGTTCTTTAATTTCATTTCCTCCATTCTTTACACAAAATCAATTGTGACATCATCATAATCATCATGAAGCATTAACCACATTTACAACCCAAAAAACTAAATAGATATATATATGTGTGTTGATTCAATCCAAATCCGGCACAGGCAACCCATTCACAATCTTCACTTTCCTCCCCAACTTGTCCAGCGCAACCTGCGAGTTGCGATCGCGCAGCGCACTGGTCTCTGCCTCGGAGACGAGGACAAAGTCGTAGGTGAGCAGCCATGCGCCCTCGGCGATGTCGTATTTGGCGGCGAGGTCGGCGTCGACTTTGCCGAGGTCGACGACGAGGGTGTTTTTGACGCCGAAGACGGCGTCGGAGCTTTCGTAGGGGTCGTTGCGGAGGTAGAGGGCTCTACAAATACATATTAGTATGTACCTGAACTATGTTGGTAGGGATATGGCTACGCACGTGATCAAATGATCGTAACCCTCCTTCTCAAACATAAAATGGATATGAGACGGACGGTACGGATGCCGATGGAGCTTCTTGAGCAATTTCCCAACAGGCCCATCATGCGGAATCGGATAAGGAACGGGCTTGATAGCCTTAAACCAGAAATTGCCGTTCTGGTCGCTGCGCAGGATGCATCGCCCATCCGGACCCTTGCGATCCGCGTGCTGCACGTCGTAGTGGCCCGAGGAATCCGTCTCCCAGACGTCGATCTTGACGTCCGGGATCGGGTTGCCGTTTGTGTCTTTCAGAGTGCACAGCACCAGCATTGGCTCGCCGTTGGGGTCGTGAGACATCACCTCGCCGTGGTTGAGCTCGGGCGCTTCGTGTGTGTGGAAGGGGCCCAGGACAGTGCCCTCTGTCGACCCGGGGGGTTTGGGGTGGTCGATGGAGTCGACCAGGAGGGAGAGACCGAGGATGTCGGAGAGGAGGATGAATTCCTTAGTACTGTCAGCAAGCCTGACACAAAATACTGAACAAGTACAAGTACAGGGAGTTGAACGTACCTGCCGCACATCACTACAAATCTTGCCCACCTCAGTCAGAAACCGAATACCAGCCATCCACTCGGCGGTGCTGAGGCGCGTCTCGCGCGCAAAGTCGTGCAGGTGGGAGACCAGCCGTTCGAGGACGTATTTCATGCGGGCGTCTTCGCAGAGGGAGTTGATGCGGATGACGTTCTCGGTGATGTTGTCGATGGTGAGGTCTTTGAGGGGAGGGATTTTATTTGTGACTTGTGAGGGGTCCATCTTGACGCCAAAAAAAAAAGAGAATTCAGATATTACTTCTTGTAAAGAATGCCGACTCGAAAATTACAGACTCAGTCGGAATAAGTTATGTGGTTCAAATGAAGCTGGAGAACAAAAACCAAGGACTGACAAGAGTAAAGAAAGATAGGACACTCCTATCTATCAAGAATCAAGAATCAATTAATCCACCAACGACAGAAATATCCTTATTTTTTTCCGTTCAAGTCGAGCAAATTCCGGTCTCGCTGTCTGGTCCCCACGGCGGGGTGTGACAATTTATAGTTGCAGGAGGAACTCCGAAGGAGGGACTGTAATGGACTCCCCGGCCAGCTCGGCAGGTACCTACGGCAGGTAAGGTAGGTAGGTAGCTTGCTAGCTGCGGAGCCAGATCAGGTAGTAACCTGAGAAGGATATAAGTATGCAGTCGGACCAGACAGACGATCAAGCAAGCCAAGCCGTTTGTTTGTGCTTGTGTCTGTCCCAATGAACATTAGTTACTCTCGGGGAGGAAGCGGGGAGGACATTACTTTTCAGTATATGAATGTATACTATGGAATCAGTATTTACCCCTCCTCCTCCTCTCTCCTCTCTCTCCACAGGCCATCAACCATCCATCGACCGTGTTAGGTAGGACGTGACTAATACGGAGTACGGTAATACCGATTCTGTGATTTGCTGAAGCCTGACTGGGTCACTGGATAGGTATCCGCCGATTATTCGGGTGTATTGTATTGTGGGGAATCCATGCAAAGCCCCATCCTGATCCATCCATCGTCAATCAAATCACGGAGATGGGAGGGGTCCGTTGTGTTTTTTTTGGCTTCTGAAGATTTTTATGAATTGTACGCTACACTTCTAAGTTCTATCATCTCAATTAGCGGTCCTTGTTTTAATCTTCATTGTTCTGTAACATGATTGTTATGTGCAATGATCAGGTATTATATACTGTCCGGGGAAAAAAAAAAGGTGGGGTATATATCAAGGATCGGATCAATCAATAACCAACAGTACATATATACTCTGTACGGCAAGTTACGCAGCTATGAAGAAGATTCATGATGATTCCGTAAATCCGATCTGCCCGTTTGGAGTAATTGAACCCCTCCAAATAGCAACAATGTACTCCGTACGGAGTATATTCCTTTGTGATGACTTACTTGCTGACAAACAATCGAGGAATGGATTCCGCTCTGTAGTCTGGATAATACCTATCCGCATTTCCCGCCCGGGTGAATGATATTCCGTACAGTACAGTAATCTACTACGGAGTACTACTGCTGTCTTTTGATGTCATGCCTGATTATGACGATCATGTCGCATACAGACTTCGTTAGATAGTGATTGCTTAGTTATATCGAATCTGGATTGATTGCTTTTGGCTTAGTAATTAATGACACGAATTGACGAGTCAAGTCCAGGAAGGAGGGGGAAAAAAAAGGCTAGTACTTAGAAATTCACAGAGAAGATGATCATGCACACGAAAATGCACACGAAAGGCAAGGGGGATAGAAAGTAAAAAAAAGAGATATGGCAGCAGAATGAGAAATTGTCAATTGTCACAAGAAAAAAAAATTCCGTACAGAAAGGATTCCATCCATCCCTTGCCATGCCACGCCACAATAACCCAGGTTTCCCAAACAAGATAAATATCATTCATTCGCTGGAAGTCGCTCACAGAAATTCATGACAACATGGGTAATCAAACAAGTAGCCACCACATAACATCAGCGTAGATGGGAGAATAAAAGGGAGAAGAAGGATTCATTAAGAGGCCCTTGTTCTGTGAGGCCCTTGCTCTGTGACAGCAAAGCTCAGCGACCCTTTCGATCACGCTCTCGGTCGCCGTGCAGGTCCCCCTCGCGGTCTTTCTCTTTGCCCGCTGCAACTCGAGTGTGATGGTCAACCGTGTCCATGATAGCCTGCATCAGACGCGAATTGGCATCAGGGTCGTCATCGTCGTTGTCCACGTTGCTGTCGCGGTTGATACTGATTCGCCGGTCATGGCTGCCCACCGCGCTGCCCTGGATTTCACTGGCCGCCCGCCGGGGCGGCAGCTCGTGGGGTCCTTGTTGAGGCTCCGACGAGACGGGAGCGCTCGAGGTCGAGTCGGCGCGTCCTCCATTCGAACTGGTGGTGCTCGATGGCACGCCGGCAGCGCCTCCGCGTTCCGCCTCACGTTCTCCGTCCGGAAGGCTGGTTGAAGGAGCAGCCGCCGAGGAACGCGATCCATCCTGCGGGGCATTGTCGTCCGGCTGTTGGCGACGCTGACTGGCCGGTGGGTGTTCGCGAAGTTCTTCCTCCTTGACATCCTTCCACGAGCACTTGGCATGCTTCTTCGTACAGCCCATACATGCGGTGAGGTTCTTCAGACAATCCATGTGCAGTCGACGGCATCGGTCGCAGGGAGGCAGGATTCGCTCCCCACGTTGAAGCTCCTCCATGCGAGCCACCATCTCCATCTTGTAGGGACCGCCGTCATCTCGCTCGTAGTGGTTGGTCGATTTCGGTTGGGGCAGAAGGGAGGACGGGGTGTTGGGGATCGCCACGGTTCCAGCCGAGCCTCCATATCCACCATAGTCTGCGGCACCATCCGATCCCCGAGGACGGGGACGGCTCGACTGTCGGGAATAATGCCCTGGCGTGGTCTCATTCTCCGGGGGATAGCCACGGGCTTGGCGATCTGCCGTGGTGAAGAACTTCTTCATCAATTCCGCACGAGTGGTTGGTGATGCGCCCTTGACGGAGGTGCCATTGATGATGGTGATATTATCGGCGTTGGGGTGAGAAAACATAAACTGAGAAGAGAGATTGTGATGGTCGTCATTATTATTATTGCCATCCCCAGCTGGAGGTCTGTTTGAGTTGACGGCAACAAAGCCCGATGGCGGAGATTGAGGGTTCGAGTAGCCATTTCCATTGGCACCACCTGCCTCCGACGTGCCATTATCATGCCAGGATGGACTCTGGGAGTTCTTCTGTCGTGACTGTAAGGCCTCATTTTCTCGTCGGCTGATGATGGCTGTCCGGCGATTCTTGAGACGGTAGGTGAGCTGTCTTGCTCGCGCGGCCGCTGTGACGGAAGTCAGAGATTGTTTTCTCACGGAGGAATCTTTGCTTGACTCACCTGAATCAGCCATCTGGATGATCTGCTGAAGGTTCTTCTCCAGGATTTCCAGCGCGCCCAGTTCCTTCTCTTCATCCTCATCGATGGGTTGCGGCGGGATCAGCTTCTGCGGCATCCCGGACGCGATCAACACATAATCCTCCTCGGAGATCTCGACGCGACACTGCTTGATGTAGAACTGGCAGACGCGCACGCCATTGCGCGTCTTTTCCAGAGTGAACTGCTCCGGTTTGTTCTTGGCGAATTCGATCACATCCAACCAGCCGATGTTGGCGCCCTCTTTGTTGTTCGATTTGAGCACGCGCGGCGGCCCGTCGAAGAGGCGCTCGAAGCGCTTCATCAGGATCGGCCCTAGCGGGCATGCGCCCAGGTTGCCGGCAATGCTTTCGTGTCGCTGCAAGACGCCATCGTACTCGCCGATCAGGCGCAAGATGTTGGGCAGGTTATCTTCGGTGGACACCAGAGGTAGGTTGTCGGGATACTGGCGCGCCAGGTAGTTGATCTGCAGATGATTCGACTGCGTCTTGGGGACTTTGTTGGCCGTGGACGGGAAGTCTCCGGACGGAGACCGCGGTCGCTTATGGGAGGCTGCCTCCGCGGTCGCAGTTCTCGACTCCATGATCAGAGTCAACCACGCAAGGAAAAATCAAAAAGAAAAACAAAGATTGAAGACAGCTCAGGCTATGGATCCGCCAGAATCCGCGCGTGAAGACGGGGGGGGGGCAAGACAGCAGGCCGGTTGGCGGGATGGAGACCTTAGACGGGGATTCGGATGACGGAGCGGAGCATGAAAAGCGGTCGGACTTTGCTGCGAATGCGCGTGATCACCCAGTTCGAAGAACCCTACGAGTGCCAATCACGAGGCACGAGGGGTGCCGGTACAGCAAGACTGCAGCGCGCGAAACGACGACGACAGGCAGAAGGGGAGACAATGTGGAGGGAGGAGAGGAGCGACGGGCGGGTGGTTGAAGAGAGGGGGGAGGGCGTGGAGTGGGCGTGGTCGACGGTCGGAGAAGGAGGTGGAGAGATGGACGCGGACAGCAGTCATCCAGG